TGTGCTTGCCAGCTTACGACTCCGTGTGCAACAAATTCAAGGAAAGAATAGAGTGCATTCTAGTGGGCTGTAAGGACCTTGGGTAGCTAAGGCAATGCGTTTTTGTCCTGTAAGCCAATGAGCACATTGGAAACTGTTGATTGGTTGGTTCAGAAGCACTCCGTGGCCCAATCATCTAACGCCCAATTTGCAATGCGGATGCCAACTTTTCAAATGGGAAGTCATCCGTCAAATGTGCTACAAATCACAAGAGGACATTATTAACACCAACGAATCAGTCACTCGCTTGCAATCTCTTAAATTGGTACAAATACAAGAGACATTTTACTGATTTTTCTGCTATGATGACCAATCGGCTGCAAAAAGGGCCAAAAAGAAAGACCATAAGTGCATTTTTCTACGAAAAACAAGCACCGCGAGGCGTTCGATTAGCGGAAATCGGTATTGTCAACCTCCAAAGCCGATACTTCACTGCTTGTAATGGAGGTCGAGGCGAGCGAAGTGATCGCAAAGCGACGGATGAGGAGTGAGACCTGATCAAGCCTTCATCAGTTTTGAGTTCAACAGGAGATGAGAAAGGAAAGAGTAATGCTTTAAGATCTGTGCGATTTGTGCCCACTGACCAAACGCACTTCACTTCATCTGATGGCAAGAGTGGACACAGTAAGCTCGGATTGTTACACACCCACGTGTTGGAAACCATTAAGAAGATGGGCCAGTGACGATGAAACTGCAAGGATGGGACTTTTCACCTGACAAAATGGAAGGACTTATGTGCGATACATTATAAATCGCTGTTTAGCCAAAAAATGCAGTATCATTTTCTACCAAATTTTCACAAGGAACAAAGCAGAGAGAGCACTGGGTTCTGCACAAAAGCCTTCAAAAGAAGGAAGGAGGGTGACATGTCACTTTAGCAGGACTGGTTAAAACCTCCGTCCGCCAGATTGAGATTCACGCATTGACGAGTAAATGACACTAAGTGACTGGGATAATAGCAAGCAAAGTAAAAAAATTACATTAACTAAAACTTTGGTGCAACTTAACTGCAAGACTTTAATGCATAGAAGTTTAGCGGACTTCTGACACCAGACAATGGACTGCATTGGCTGCGTTCTCCTTTTATCACCAATTGCAACAAACTTTTAATCAATATAAATTACATTTTGTGCAAGAGTTCAAAAGTCTTGCCAGAAATGCGGTTTTGATGTGATTGAAAGATCAAGATGAGGTGGTGGAAGGATCGTTACGAAGAGATTCCGAATGCACTCAGACAATCTGTTATCCTATCATTAGAGGGCTGGAACACAGATGCTGACAGACGTAGTAAGCAATTTTTGTGGCAGCAATCACAATGCATAAAATTGAAAATGAATCGCACTACCTAAATTATTTTTTTGGTGGTCCCTTAGCGCATTCAACAGCGCATCCACAAGTAGTAATGTAGTGACAAGCATGCAACTCTGTACCGTATAGGAAGGATGCAACCAGCAATAGCTGCAAAGCAGCAGAAATCATAACCACCGTCGCAATTTCGCCCTCCAAGATGTAAAATGGTGGGAGAAGGACTTCTAAACATGTAACACACAACGCCTCTTTAATGTGTTATTTGTCGCTGTACGATATGAACTACATGCGAATTGCAATGTGGAGGGAATTGCTTGCAACAAACGGCCTACGGGTTAAACCGAGGGACAAAAGGAGTAATCGGCTTTTAATTGGCTTAGAAGAAATCGACCAATGACAGCTCAAAAAGCGCTACTACTTAGCCTAGCCAATAACCAATGATAGTGGAGCTGAGGTCCACAGAAAGGCATAAGTTAGCACCAAGGCTAAAAGTAATTTTCGCGAACCACCCATCTTAAATGAGCAGATGCCAAGAGATTTAGCAAGACCCTTCAAATATTAAACAAATGAAGAATGAGAAGCACACTTAGGAGCCCATAAACTGCAACTCATTGAAATCAAACAAATCCCTACCAGTTACTTAAGGAAACGCATTTTATGTCATTCAAACAAATCCTACAAAATTGACTAAAGTGATAAGTTTAACCGCCAAAGCACATCTAACTATCACCATACCGCACGAAATGTGGGAATGCAGTAGACAGTTAATATGCACTCATATTGGGGCTCAAAACAACGTTAACGCATAATTAAGGCTTTGTGTAACATGTAGAAGATGAAAGGTCTTTTGTATGTAATTCCCATCTAGGTACATTTTAAAGACTAGCACGAGACTTTTGTCTTCTTCGAGATGATCTACTTATTTGATTACCTTGCTTTTAATAGAAGTCGTAACAGAACGACTAAAACAAACTAACAATTTTAATTGTCCATCAAAATTGGCTTCATCTTGCCACAATTGACTTTACATTGTTGATGAAACGCTCAGTAGCGCTGTCGCTTGTCAACTCGATTGTGATGCAATTTCCACGTAGCTTGAAACTCAGAAGGCCAACTCTGTCAGAGGAGGGTGAGAAAAAATGTACCCAAGCCACTGCCAGTCGTGCAAGTGGTCACTTAAGCAAAGTATTGCATCACTTCTTCCCTCCTTCGGCGACTTCCTCGATGCTGCCCTCGATCCGCCTTCTCCGCGCCTTTCATCACAACACCTCCGGTGCTTCTACAAGGAAACATCCACGTTCCAGACATATCAATCGTCAGCTATAATGGGACTGAGAGATTGCACTTAATCACCCCATTATCTTCAACTAGATTCAAATGCATGTTGGGTTTTATAATTTAACAGTCAAGACAGCATACTTTTGCTGGACAATATCCGGACACTGATCGTAGGCAGCATCGTAGCACCGTAAACAGAATCAAACACAATCCGGTGTGGACAGACGTTCAATGGAATGTCAATGTCGACATCCCTACGCAAGTCGGCAAAGGAAGTTTTGAAATGCAACCGTTTGGAGACGGTCTATGGTGGTGTTTCTCCGGCGGTAGATATCAAACGCGGACGTCATTCTCGGTTCTTCTGCTGCAAAGCAGTTGGGAATTCTTTCCTCTCAAGCCTTACACACTAGTTACCCTAAAGTGGTGGCATTGTCGTGTTTGCTTTTTCGATGCCAAAAGTCGAACATCACGACACTTCTCCCTAGGCATTAAATGCAGCGAGAAGGCAAAAAGATTTAACTTTGGCTTTCGCCAATGCCCTTCCACGCAAACAACAGCAAGTCAAACACCAAATTGACCGTTAGATATAAAGGAAGTCAAGCAAGCAAGTCAGGGCACTTAATGATTAGATTTGACGCCGCTCTTTTGCGACTCGCTCCATTCTCAGCATCCAAGTTCTGAAATTTCCTCTTCAATGTCTGGTAGCCCAAATTTGGATGGGATAGTGAAGGGATGCTCTTATTTGCCCTTGACAAGGGCATCTTTCTGGTGCAAACTTCATCAAAGAACATCCCTTGTGATGGAAATGCGGGCACGTTTTATCGAACAGAGTGGATTTGGAGGTCTCTTTTGAGGCCAATGTGAGTTCTTTACCACAACAAGTGGAGGACGTGGAGCGACATACCGATTGAGATACAAAGAGTGTAAGGATACGACAAATAAACCTTTGAAGCAGAGTAACCAAGTTTTGCAAGACAGCACTTGACAACTCAAAATACGCTGCAAGAGTGGGTAATGAAAATTTGAGACAAACGAGGAATACGTATAATTACTACTACTACTATTGCAATGAACAACACATTTTCCGTCTTCCACGCATCTGACGCCTTCAGTGTTTATGGAAACTTCAATAATGGCACTGCCTTCAGCTCGGATAATGGCGAGGTAGTGCCGAATGATCAGCTCAAGGCCATGGTCAGATGAGTTGGCAATTTTTCGTCAAAGAATTCCAATGAGGACTAGCCAATAATAATCACATGGACCGTAACAAGTTTGAACGTTTAAACCATAACCACAAAAAAACACCACTGCTGGAATAATGAGGACACAAAATTGGTCAAAAAGATAAAAGACATTGCGTATCGAGAGATGTCAGAGTTGTCACAATTTACTTTCCACATGATGAGCAGTGAAGTGTCAATCACCTTCTCTCCAATCACACCACCTTGCCAAGTTCAAGCTCAAGATCTGCTGTCCACAACGGCACAGTTTATGCAACATGCAGTGCAAAGTGTGCATTGAGGTTCTTGAATGCACCGCTCTTCGTCGAAGGGAGGATCAGCAGTCATCTATCATGTGATTTGAAGTGTTCAAGTCAAAACAGAAGTTCCTGCTCTCACCCAGTGAAGGATGATGGTAAAAAATTTGTCATTCAATGCTTCCGATTCAAAGAAAATCTGTCAATGCAAGGAGAAATCCATTTGTACAACCTGTCAACATGGAAGACTGAGACAGACTCAAGGCAGGCTTACTGAGATGGTGGTGAAAATCCTCGAACAACGCGACTATAGCAATGCGGCTACTGTCAGTCACATGATGATCGCAATGAGCTTGTCGCCTTAGCATTCCAAAATGCCATTTTGAGAACACTAGAATGCGTGGACTCCAACCACCGTGTAGTACATCACAATGGCGATGGTTTCCTTCGCTCCCTCTCACCTTCGTCAACGCTTTACACCCTCACTAGCCCCACTTGATGCCTTCTTCTTCCCGAGTGCGAAGTCTCAAACACTTGAAGGGAGAATTTAAGTAAGTGCCAACGTCTTGGAGGTCCTTGTCATGCGTATGCTTTCGATGAGTCAGACAAATGTGTCTGGGCTTAACACCAGCGTACTTCTGCAATCGCCAACACTGTTGAGATGACTACAACTGTGGCTACAGCATTTGCCTTTCTCAGTCGCAATCTTACAATCATCGATGACACTTGAACATGCAAATGCCTCGATGTAGCGAGGATGCTGACTACCTCCATCAGGGAAACATTCCCCAAGGATACATCATGCTGTTGCGTGTTGCCACAAGGCTTGAAAGCGACATTGCCTAACAAAGGCGATCCAACGTCCTCTGTATTCCTGTGAGTTAGTGAATTACTTAATTTACTTTGCTGTCACTCTACGATGATGCATCCACACATTGCAGCCAATGATGGCAATGACAGTCGCAAAGTCTACGGGTACGAAGACGATGTCAGCATTGTCAATCAGTTGCCCCTCTCGGTTGCACTGCTCGTAGTAGCACAGCATTTGAGCTGCGATGGAAGAGGGCGAAAGTGTCTAGATGGGTAGACGACATTCATGAAGTGGGAAATACAGTCAGTCAAAGCAACATTTGCCAACACCATTGAGAAAGCACACAGTGGACCTATCAAAAAGTGTATTAATTTAGACAATAAAGTGCAATAGTTAAAGAGAACGAAAAGGTCGGTGATGTGCACAGACGGGTAAATGTGTTTCCACAAGTACCGACATCATTGGGGGTAGTGGAGCGGGTGGTGGCGGGTTTGGAGGTGGAGATGAAATCACTTTAAGTGAGCATTGCAATTAGGAGGTTGTGATGCGTCTCGAATTCCAGCCATCCTCTCTGTTTTCTGTGATGTTGAGAGTTGAGGTGGAACTATTTGCGTCGATTGGCTATCTTTTCCTTTCTATCAAAACAAAAAAATTTACTGATAACTTCTTCTGACACTTCCATGTCAGAATACCATCTACCACTGATCGTGCAACATTCCTTCTTGGAGCAACAGGTGCTTTAACGCTACAGGCTGTAGTTGATTGCATGGCATGGAATGAGGTAGACGATTCGTGGATTTTCGTGATAACAACTAGTCAAGTACAAGTAAGACTTTGGCAGTAAAAAAATTACAAATAGAAGGACGTACTGCCTTTGACGAGTGGTGTGATCACTTCTGCTTCGCTGCTGAGGGGACTGAAGAAGTCGCGTTCACCTCTGCCATCTGGACGACTGTGCGCACTGACACGAGCTCTAACGGTTGTTCCTGGCTTCAAGTTATTGAAGGTGTAGGACCGAGTTGAACGGACGGTAGTGATAATTTGCTGACCGTTGCCGAGCCTCCATACGATGTAATAGTAGATGATAGAACCGATGGGTTGAGATGGCGCATCCCACTTCATCTGCACAGTGTGAGAGTCGATTGCTTCCAGTCGCACATTCTGAGGAGCAGTGGGATCTGCACAGACGGAAATGCATGAACATGTCATTGTTTTAAGAAGGATGATGCACTGAGCTATCAGCTGCCTCAACGTCTCTATACACACAAGAATAAATGGAAATTAAGCAGGTAAAAAAGTAAATGGTTGACTGCTATCCTCTCAATGCATTAACATTCATGCTGAAGGATAGGCAAATCAAGCCCAAAAGCTGATGCTGAACCGTTGTTAACAAAGCAAAAGAATCTAGTCTATTTTAACTGGTGGTATCACATCGAATAAAAAGAGCGTGAGGGCTGACCTCCTGTGAAATCTGGTGTGGTCACTTTCGCTTCATCGCTGAGGGAACCAAATAGGTCGTGCTGATTTTCATACCTTGGACGGCTCTGTGCAGTGATACGGACAGTGAGTGTTTGCCCTGGCTTTAAGTTGTTGAAGGTGTAGGAGTGAACCAAAGGGAGGATGATAATACCCTGCTGACGATTATCCAATTTCCAAAGGATGTAGTAGTGAATAAGTGATCCGAGAGGTTGAGATGGTGCGTCCCACGTCACTTGCGCGGTATGAGAGTCGATTGCCTTAAGCCGCACATTCCGAGGAGAAGTGGGATCTGCTCAAATGAAAATGCATCAAATTATTTACAGCTCTGAGTAATGATGAGACGCTATTTGTTTTGTTGCATCCCATGTAGCTTCGGGTGAATAAAACTTTGCGTGTGCGTGAGTGTGTAGCATCCTCTGGAACAAAAGAAGGCGTGCTGCCGATTGCATGAGCATGATAATCTTAAAAGATAAACCTAATCGTCTACTGATTTGAATTAAGTAGTTGTAATATTTAGTATTACTGCTCCACTGGGATATCGTTACTTTCACAAAATCGTTTAACATTGTATGTGATCCTCAAAAAATCTCACATTCTTTGACTCGCGGTGTGGTCACCTTGACTTCGGCACTGGGTGAATGCAGAGTTGTGTGCTCATCTCCATCGCCTGATTTCGTATATGCACTAATTTGGGCTGCGATTGTTTGTTGAGGTTTCAACCTTTCAAACGTGTAATTGGTGACTGGCGGAACAATAATTGTCTGTTGCCAACTGTTGTTGAGGCGCCAAAAGATATGGTAGTTAATAATGCGCCCTCCTGGACGTGGCGGCGGATCCCACCTCATGCGCACAGTGTAGGAATCGATCACTTCAAGTTGCACATTCTCAGGAGCAGTGTCAGCTGCATAAATGGAAATTCAAAAGTGCGCCATTATATAATGGGGTGGTGAGAAAGCTACATTCGCTTCAGCACGCTCCTACTTTTCCTCATTTAAACAAGATGAGACATGAAATGATAAAATGCTGTGTGCAGACTGCACAGACGTTGGCCCTCAATTTAAGCAACTTGATTCCACCTCTGGTCAACTACATGTAGTTGAGTTAGGAGACGAAACGTGTATTTACTTTAGCGGTAACGAGCACTTACCAACGTAACGCGTCAACAAATAGCCTGTGCAAATGTAGACAAGTGGACGAACTCACCACTTTTGGCTCGCGGTGTTGTTACCCTGACTTCAGCACTGGGTGAATGGAGGGTTGTGTGCTCATCCCCATCGCCTGATTTCGTATATGCACTAATTTGGGCTGCGATTGTTTGTTGTGGTTTCAACTTTTCAAACTTATATTCGGTGACTGGTGGAAGAATGATTGTTTGTTGCCAACTGCTGTCGAGGCGCCAAAAGATGTGGTAGTTAGCAATGCGTCCTCCTGGACGTGGTGGTGGAGCCCACCTCATGCGCACGGTGTTGGAGTCGATCGCTTCAAGTTTTACACTTTGGGGAGCAGTGAGATCTGCAATAAATTAAAATACAATACCTCGTCAAAAAGGGTAGCAAGACAATGAGGCCTTATTTGTTCTATCGTGTTGTGTTGATGGCTAAATGCTTGAGGTGTGGCTGTGGGACTGCACGACGTCTCATATGGCTATGGCTTTAAAAACATTGCGAGTCCAGGCATTGTGTCTGCACGTTTCCAAATGATTTCCACTCTCACTGTCTGCGAGTCTTGCGTTCCAGCAATTTCGAATGTTTGGAAGGCTTCAATCTTTGCACATATGTTTGCACTACGAGACTTGATCGTAAGCCTCGAATCGTCACTGTGACAGCAGAGAAGAGGCACCTAGCCAAAAATACCCACAAAATAAAGTAACTCTTAACTCTACTTGACTCGCATCCTCGTGCGTGGTCTGAGAGGCAATCCAACCCAATGTCTATTGTTTTGTCCGTGGTCTCCTTGTCGGGGAAGCTGCCCTTCTCAACAGCCTTCTGCAACTCGTGCATGTGTCGGGTCCACCCTGTCGCACTGCCCTCACGTGATTTTACACAGACGTCAACATAAAAATGGCACAATCACCACCTTCTGTGCGACTCGATTCGACTGTAACGAGGTGTGCAATGTTTAGACACGAGGGTACGAAAGGAATCCAATTTCAACGTCATCATTTTAGAGCAATCTGCAAGTAATGGAATGCGCTACAAATGCACGCAGTATTTTGGACATCCTTCGTATTTCCTTCGGCATTTTTGCATTCCAAGGTGTTTACAGTACCAAAAAAAAAAGGAAAACGTCTTACCTACCGCCACCGTAGCATTGCAATGGAAGATAACAATGGCCAACAAAATGAGACCGAGTTGGTGGAACATTCTTAATCTAGAAAGGCGTCACCCTCCCACCACTCACACACACACACGATAAAATTGTGTATGGAGTGAAGCCATGTGAGTACGCGAAATTTATCTGTCCTTGACCTACAAAGTAAATTGTGCATGCGCATACACAAGCACCACTGGACAGCGCCATTGTGAGGACTGAGGAGGTAAGTTGGGCACGAATTGGAGCCTTGGAAGGAAACAAATCAGCTGTTGATTGACAACCTCACACATCATCATTACAGACATTTTAACAGACAACTTTCATGTGGCCACCTTTACTGTCTTTGAATTAGAATGAGATTTTGGTGGCGACAATTTCAATGACATCTAGCGGAGAAGGTTTGCTAAAGACAAGTCAAGCCTTTGTAGTCTTGTAATTGTTCTTAAAGAAGTGCTCCCAAAGGCAGTCGGTCAAGCGTGTTGAGAATTAAGGTCGCAAACCTTCACTGGGCCTCCAAACACGTGACAGTTGATGGTGCAAGAGGTCACGTTAGCTTCGTCCCAACCCTCCACCAACTCGCACCTCCACCTCTTCGCACCCAAAGTGACTGTCAAACTCTGAAGTTGAGGCCTTTTGGCCCAGTCAGTGTCACAGCTACGAAGTCGTGTGGTCAAGATTAGCCTTACAAACCGAACTGATTATGCAACATCGCGACATTTAGACAACTGGTTGACAGGTGCCTTCTTCATACATCCAACACTCCACGTAAGCAGATTTTACCGCTTCCCTACTTCAAAGCAGGTTTTGTGAGAATAACCAGGATGAGGAGGGCGAAATGTCACATCGTAAGAGATGCACAGACTGACATTGTTCGAGAGTAAAATAATCCCATCACCCGTATGATGTGTACACAACTTGCTGTGCAGTGGCCGTCATTGAACATCTCTTCCATCTGAGTCGATATGGACGAAAGAAGTGCCTTTGAAATTGTCGCCAACAACTTGTTTGCAAAGCGAAACAATCAAAGCGAACTCTTTGAGGAAGTAAAAATTCTTGTGGGACATACAACCGATCCAGTTGCTAAAATTGCAATTGTAGACAAAGTGAAGGGCTTACAATGCGGTGCAGTGGTAAGGCCCGGAAGAACGTCACGAGGAATGCAGATTTGAAAAGGAGACAGACAGCTGAAAAGATGTTGCCTTTTTCCAAATTCCTTGATTAGAAGGTTTAAGAATTGAAGAGGACTTGGAAACGACTTTGACCCTTCCAATTACTTTTAAGACCACTTTATTGGAGAGCAAACGAGGAGATAGAAGTCTTCATTGTAGTTGTCATGGCTCTTGATCCACTGCAGCGCCGGTGAGGGGATGAAAGGTGAGCATTTATGAAGGATACTTTCGACAGTACTCACCAGACTCACCACTGAAATTAGCATTTGAAAAAATGAAATCCCCAACAAACTGCATTTCCGTGCAGAACATGAAGGTGAACTTCCACTGGAGGGAGGCGATCCGTCACAACACCTCCGCGTCAGTTAGGACTAATTCTTTAAAATTGAAGAAGTTGAATAATAAGATCGACGTTTAGTCTGAGCGACTATCTTTTCTCATTTCAATCACTTTTTAAAAGTACTACTGTTCCTAAGATGGCGGACTCACTTTCAACATTACAGACACGCAACCTCAAAATCAACGTCTACTCATCATAATGCAACCATTCCTAGGGGAAAAAAATAGTTGTTTTCAGCGCTACAGACGACTCTATTTACTAGGACCCGTCTCATACCATCTCAACGCATATCGTCCCCACTGTCGCCCACCAAACACAATGGAGGGATGACATTTTGCAGCCTGACTGCTGCTCTTGTCTGTTGACACCCCATCAGATCGCATTCAGCATGACCTCATTGTCTACTTTCATGTAATCGCCTGTCGCGAAGCAACTCGGTCCATTCTCTTGGTTAACATTTCACAACTGCGATATCCTCATCTTCTGGCATCATTTCGTTTAAAGGAGTCCGCAGTAACTCGCAAGGCAAGACATGTACTGGCGTTGTTAGTTTGAGGTGACAGAGCTATCACGCCGTGGCACATTGTTTTGAACGACAAATTTTGAATAGTTGGAAGTGTAGACACTTTGTAAAGTGTTGCTGAATGCTACTGCACAGTAAAGGCAGATGAATCGCCTCACCTCCATGTTTGTCTGCGTGTGCGCTCGAAAATCTGAGTGAGAGGCAAAGGCATGCTGACAAGTGAGACAGATGTGCGTGAGTGAGTTTGTGACCCTGAAGAAGGTGGTAACGCGAGAAGATCCTGTTGCAGAGGTGACGATATGCCACGAACGTGTGTGACTTCGCTTACGCCTTCGCAAAGAGGCAGTGCTACCGGCCTTACTGCGTCGGTTGCATCTCCTCACCAACGTTCGCACTACTTACCACACGAGGTGTGGGGTAGCTGGTGACAGTGATGTAATAACACGAAGGTAATAGCAAGAAGAGTTGCTATTCCGGTGGCAAAACTGGCTACGGTTGTCACAGTGGCGTCTGCAACTACACCTGCTCCAAGTCGCAGTGTCGTGGCTTCAACAACTCCGTCTTTTCGCACAAGGGAATTAAGGAGAAGTGGGGCAGTGGAGCCCTCGGTAAGCAGGGCTGCTACGGTGGCAACTGCGGGTACTGGAGTGGATGCAAAGATGGAAAGTGCAATGGCTTCTACGACTTTACACAGTGTCAAGGTGGTGAGTGCATGAGCGGAGCGTTCCACGGTTACGGATGCCTTCCTGGTGGCAGCTGTCAGGTCATCTGCCTCAATGACGTTTGTCACTCCGTCGACAATTATGGCCAAATCTACACCCTACCAATGGGCAAGGATGGAGTGGCAGAGTATGCAAATACCTTGTCTGGCTACGCCTATGATCCCGCAATGATGTATGTTATGCCAGGTCCCGATTACCCTGTGCCCCAACCTCCAAGTGCGCTTCCTTCGGTGCACACCATGGATTCGGAGGTTCTCAAACAC